GTAAAAAGAGTGACAAAAACGTTCTTGGCGTTATTGTTGTGATAACTGCTGTTTAAGATGCCTCAGGACTCATGAGTTTACCTTACGGTCATCATGTTACTGGGACTAAACACCATTAACTAAAAGAAGGAAACCCCGCAACAGCCAGCCAGCCACCCACCCACTGCGACAAAACCACTCAATCAGTCCGAAAACATCGAACTTAAACTTCGAATGAGTGAAAATCTTAACTCAAGAATCACGTTTTCGTTGCGCCAAGTCTACGTGCGCTAAAATGTACAGGTCGCTCTGCCGGGATGTGTCTGATTGCGACTGATTGGGTCAGTTTGGCCGTGATGTTATTTGCCATAATACTAGTCTAAAGTTTGTCAACAGGCGTTGGTCGGCTCTAGTAAGTTTCGATCCGTCCTGAAGTCGGTATGTCGGCTTTAATTGGTTTGTTGAAACGTCAGTCACCAAAACCGGGCACGAACAAAAGCTCTATTCAGAACTACCCTCACCTAGACGATAACACTATACGAGCTACTGATCAGGCTCTTGGGTTCAAACCACACAGCCAGTGAAGTTCCTCCTGTTCATGATTCATTGCCGGATTCACCGGTCCCTATCAATATTCTATTCCACACAACACACAAGATTGTTGTACAGTGGTGTCGGGAACTGGAACCAGACCTCCATCCCAAGCGCCTTCTCAGGAACAGCGTCTTACCCGGCAGTCTCACCCCGGAGCGGCAACCGCAACTACATGAAAACAGTATTAATGGCAAGGCTGAGAACTCTGGGAGTAGTTCAAACCAGTGTGAATGGCTACCGGAATTAATTGACATGGATGATATGGAAACTGCTCAAGTTAAGCGTGATGAGTTTTGACCAGGTGGTAGCCTGCAGAACAGGCTGATTAGTGGGGCAGAGAGCGAAACGCGATACACGAGCGTGGAGCGCGACCACGAGCGGGAAGTGCGAGACGAAAAATATGCGTCTTTAGTCATACCTGTAATTTGCCATGAACCGAGTGTGGTTTGGTATGGCGCGTTTTCAGGGTCAAAATTAAAAACTAACTTTTCCACCTTTCCTTACCTGCTAAGTAAAA